ATACATTTTAAATATCAATTTTTAGGTACAGTTGAGATGACGGCAACAATAAATTTTAAAAGATTTATTGTTGCATTCCGGCTACGCAGTACGCACGACCGAATAAAACAGCGAAGGAAGAATAAATCGCACTCACAGATACAGGTGAAAATTAGAAAAAGCATGAAAAACAATTGAGGCTCATAAAGAATTTTTAGACAGGGCACTTTTATTTTGTTCGGGTTAGTTAAGATTCACATAGCAATAAAACGGCGTAACTTAGAAACCTATCGGGAGTCGGCAGGATAAAGGTAACACTCAACACTATAAACCGTACTGGTGGTGGTCAGGAACCATGCTAGAGAAGGAGGTGTTAATTTGGTCTAGGTGGAGAAGTAACAAGGTGGGATTAGGGAGTTGAATTGTGCTAGACTTCTCTAACCGCTGTGATGATGTGAGCGGTTGCGGTCGACAAAAGACCAGGGTAACTCTTGATCTTCTCGGGGCGCATATTATCATATTTTACCAAAACTATTTAGGGACAATGTAAACAATGCGAGGCTTATGAGTGGTGTGACTTGTGAGGTAGCTAAGAAAGGGAAGCTGCCAGGAAAATGGCTGATTGACCTGTAAACAAAGAAAAGTGTTCAGGGTAAGCTGTACAAAAGGTTACGGATAAAAGCCATGTCCCAAAAGTTAGCACAGGTCTGTCTAGAGAGTAGGCTACAAAACAATCGTGTGTGTGTGTGGGTCCGGCCCCAGGGTAATGAACAACATGTTTTGAGAGAGCATATTCCTAGACTGAAGGAGAGAGGTTGCAATTAGCATATCAAAGATGTGGTAGGCTGGTGAAATGTGGTGTTTAGCTTTGATAACACTTGATGAGAGCTTGATGATAGCTTGATATGAGGGATTGAGTCTAGCGTAAAAGAGGTTATTAATGAATTTGATTTAAGATGTACGCGGTTTTCAGAGATTTAGTGTGTGTCTTTGTGATATGATTAGTTCTGAGGAGAGCAAAAGCGAACATTACTTTGCACTACTTTATTAACACTTAAAGTGCAGGATTGAGACATCAGACTAAATTCTAATCGTGGGACACTTAGCTTTGACTGTGTGGCCAGCCACATTAATTTACATAATACTAGAGACAGCGGGGTTAACACGAGACGGAACGTTTTGAAAAACACCGAGGTGTTTAATAACGAGCACGGATTTTGCTTTGAGACTAATTGAGTGCTTGCCTACAAGGGTAAGGGTGGCCTGGGCTATAAAATCAGCTTTGTGTATGAAACCAGTGTTGTGAGTAGAGAGTAAGGTAACCAGCTCGGCCCGGGTAACTGAACCAGATCACTAATGACGGTGGAACGGTATGGTGCTGGCGCATTTCCAGATTCCACAACGTATACAACAATGCCTGATACTGAGTTATGCAACAGGAACTACCTTCCATACACCGACGGAACACAATAGGCACAGGAATTTAGCTAATGTAAATTGAAGGTTATAAACGAGGCATGAACGGTCAAAATTTAAGATTCTGGGTACGCACCTTAATGTAAAGTAGGTACAGAAACAGGACGAACTTAGTCAGAAGTAGAGAGTAAGATGCTAAACACTCAGTGAGCATGGGGAGCAGGAGACAAAGGAACGATATAATTATCGGCTAGAAGTAGGTCCGCAATAAAGGGGACCTAATATCAGTAATAATGGACAATAAAGCTCACATAGTGGATATGATATTGTAATAATATGAAGTTCTAAAGCTAGAAGTGATCACAATAAGAGGTTATGGTTTGTGGCAGTAGAGCTGCCACACGTACACCATTCTCCATAGCCCCGGGCGGTCTTTGTGCTCTATTTATATTGGCCCATTTAAAGAGGTCTGATTGGCTCATTTGTCATGCGTCAGGCAGTTAAACAGGAACAATTCCGGTTCAAAGGTAAAGAACCAAAGTCCTTCAGTTTAGAGAGGGTAGAAGTGTGGCAAATTCAGTAAATAGGCACCGCTGGTGGTGCCAGAGCCAGCGTAATAGTCTCCCATTATCATGATTATAGCGAGAAAAGCTACTTTGAGAGTTCGGTAAAGACCGATTGTTCCAAAAGAGTTCTAATGGCCGAAGCCGTAGCAACAAAGGGCAACACAAGGAACGCTCTAATTTGTAAACTTGTTTACTGCCAGAAACTAAAAGGGAGAAGAAGCACTTTTCAACAGGTACACGAAGAGGGGGCGGGATAAATAGCTCTCTAAAGAACACGGACTAGTTCGCTAGCTATAGCTACTGGTTCTCTCAGACTATGAGGGATGATATGAGCTCGTCTGTAGTGCTAGTTGGTTAGAAAACTATACCAGTTTAAGTACAGGAACTAACGACGTCATTGTTTATATTGGTATATGTTTATACAGATGGTGTGGTAAAGAGTGGAGACTGGTGAGCTCTGAAGATTGTGGATATGTCGTGTTGGTGCCCACGTGCCCTGGAGAGCGCGCAGCAGGAGATAACCTGAGCACGTGTCCTGGAGAGCGCGCTGCAGAGTGCAGATAACCTGAGCACGTGCACGATCGAGGCACCAGATACTCAGATCTGTCTGTAATATCTGCTGCTATACTTAAAAACAGATAGCATAGACTGATCCTACGCCTACTGATTTCAAAATTCTATGAACTAGTGACTACAGATGATTATAGTCGAGATTATAATATGAGAATATGGCCTAGATGGTAATTCGAGTCCGATTTATAGATATTCGATACGTATAAAGAGAGATGCCGAGAAAATTAGAAAAATGGTGATCCCGAGAATCTATTAGGCGGCTATATAAGGGTTTCAGAGAGGACGATCTTAAAAATCCTGACAGCCAGATCGACGGAGAGTTTAATGATGACAAAAACAAAATGTTAGCGAGCAAATTGAACGCCAGATTAATGGAAACAGTGAGCGGAACTGTCAATGCTGGTAAATGGGTTGCATGGATCTGGATTGAAGAGTGTAACTGTAACCAAAATTAAAGATCAGGTTTAAGTATTTGTCGCAAGATTTGACATATCAAAATTAAATCAGACACTGAACATTGTATTGTTACGAAGGGACGCCATTAGATTAGCTTGGTGACTGACGTCAGAGATCGAGTAGTGCTAGGCTGTCGCCATGAGTTCTGTTTTTTGTAAGAAAATCTAATTCCAGTCACAATTAACTTGACAGGTACAAGCGTCACGTAAATGGAACAAATGAGTCTAACCGCTAACCAATATCACATACGAGTAAAAGGTTCCAATATAATATAGAACTTTGATTAACCCTTTAGGGACGATAGGGTGTTTTTACTGACCACCTTTTCTAGACGATAAAACCAAATTATAAACGCTATAACGAATCGATACATATATGCTCAAATTTATTGGGCTACAATATAATGAAGCCCAATAAATTTTGAGTGTATATGCTATAGATTTGTATATAGCGTTTAGTAATTTTGGTTTTTCGTTTAGAAAAAGGTGGGTCATAACAAACGACCTATCGTCCTTAATGGGTTAATTTATTTTGTTGATTGTTGTATGTTGTGAAATTGCGAATAATTTATTGTAATACAATATTTGTTCAGAATTACGTAATGTAAACTTGATGGAACTATTTTAAACGGGAACTATCCTGTCCTAACCCAGGATGCACACTACTTGAAGTATTCGTTGGAACTTTGTTTCAAAAGCATCAATAGTCCAAGTTCAACCGGGCATATCCTGTCCAAAACCCAGGTTGCACTACTGAAGAATTGTTATGTAACTTTGTTTCAAAAGCATTAATAGTTCAAGTTCAACCGCAGAGAAAAAGTCACGAACAGAAGAACAACTGAAGTGTGAATTTAGATTAATCCGCTTCATATTCAGTTCAGACCTCGTTACGATCGGTTATGTTGGACTCGAGTTACTGACCCCAAGTTACATTCACCTTAACAAGGCCCCAAGGGAAAAGAAAGGGGTATAATTATAGCACGGTCTGAAACACGGGGAATTAGAACCGTTCGTGTGATTCAATTAGCACCACAGAAATTCCTTTCACCGGAACTAATAAACGGTGCAAAAGGCAGCGAGGCGGCTATTATTATGTGACCCGAACAAAACAACAGTAAACAAAACGTAAACGGTAAAGAATGGAACAAGTTGCCAGATATGGGATATAGGACTTATCATATCGTCTTAGATGCAATTTGACGGGGCGGAGATACGATTCCAATCAAGCAAGACAGCGACATGTCAAGCCAAATTTTCCTGGGATGACAAGCAAACAACTTTCTCCCCGTTTGAGATTGCTTTACGTAGCCTGGAGTACACTGTCTGGCTATTGATATGAAGAGGCCCTCTAGATCGAGTTGTCAAGCACAATGTCAGACATGACTAAAAACAATGGAAATTGGAAATAGACTGCTTGCTGAAAAATGCACCTCTGACATTACAACATGCCTGACATTTTTAAAAGTTTTAACACCAGATCCACACCACCAAGCAACTTGTAACTAAATTGAGGTCAAGCTCTGAGAAACTTTTAAAAAGGCTGTTCTATATTTAGAATGGATCCTTTTTGTCTGATGAGATGATGATTTAGTGTTTACCGTTCTCGTGTGATCAACATGTAGTTTCTCATCACGAACAAGGTCACACTATTTCATTAGCTTCGAGAAAGATCAATATAAATGTTCGGGTTGAAGGTAAACATCCATTCAAGGATGGGAAGGTTTGCGATCAATTGATTGCAATAACATTTAAAAACAGGTCAAAAAACAGTTGAATAATGTAGGGAACAGTTGGATGTTAGTAGGGAACAGTTGGATTTAAGTTAAACTCCAACTTTCAAAATTATAATATCACTAAATATCGAGAACATGTTCGTAAAGGATACGTGGCAGTCAAATAATTATGAGAACAGCTGCAGCTCCCTCCAAGTACCAAGACAATAAAGTACCGCACCCAAAAAATGTTACAATAAAATTATTATAAAACAAATTATTTCTTTCAAGTAACTTACTGCTCTTAGTTTGCGGAGCTCGTTCAAAGCCATGTCCCTTTCCCGCATCACTATCTCCGAAATATCAACTCCATTACCCTGAAATAATGAGTTTTGCTATTTTGGGTAATCAATAATTTCTATAAACACCGAACAAAAAACGACCACACCAGGGCTCGAACCTGGAATCTCCTGCTCCGTAGGCAGGCGCCTTAGCCATTGGGCCATGCGGCCGACGCACCATCAAGTAATAGTTACTTTATATTTTAAGTATAAATATTATTTTATAAAGATGTGTTAACAGGGTCATGCACGAACGTGATATATATACGTAATATATATTTTGTCGAGAACGTGCACGTGAGAAGTGGAAATGCACGCATGATGCGTTCTTATACATTTAATTGTTGATTTCTAACACGCGCGCGCTAAAAATGCGCGCTGAACTTGCTGTTACAGTGGCTGCAGAAAAAGTGCATTTTCATAGAAGTTAAATAATTCGCGCGTTACGTTAAAATCTTTTAGTAGAACTAACTACTGGAGGGTTCAGGTGGTTGGAGAAAATCCATCTCACAATATAACAATTTTACAAAAGGAGGAGATTTTGCGGTTTCCATCGCAAAATTGCTTCACAAGCAGTGCTGAATTTAAAAACTAACCCCTCGTTTAGTCTCCAACTCTTTCCTAAGTTCGTTGATCGATCCTCCTGCTCCAGTAACTTTAAACTGAGATCTCGAGAAACTGATCGAAGTTGTAACCTGCACTGCTCGTGTCCATCATCATAATCTTTCCAGGTCACCCCGCGTTTTCTCTGCTCTGTTTTTATCATGGGCGACGACGCTATGGGAATAGAAAAATTTGTTAGTTTTGCCAGATTTTCAAGTTTGAATCACGAATATAATGGAAATAGAAGTGGCCCTAATCATGTAAATAAGATGTGTTTATCACATGATAGTGACACTGTAATTTATTCAAATGCAAGCTGTTGGGTTAATCGCTGTCGCGTGCTTAAACAGACTTAAACAACCTCCCTACTATTACCAACTTCTGTGAATCATTGTGATTTATTAACATCAACATAACAGTCTTAACCCCAGTCTTTCTTCTTCAAGAGCTAAAACTGTGTCCTCTGACAGAAATTTGCTGTATTTTCCATACACAAAATCTTCAATTCATGTGAGCTCTAGGGTTTTATAAAGACATTCACCCCACTTGCACTGACCACATAAGATTAAATTTGACATAGTGCGGGCTGGTGGCCACTTTTGCAGACAACAATACAACTCCAATTCAATAATACTATAACGACTCCTAAAATGCACCAGAAACCGTTCAGATTATGCTAAAATTCATGAATCTAATCGCATTAAACTTGCCAGGAATATTCATTTATAGCGAGTTCGAGTTCTGAAAGACTCGCGGTTTAATCCCATTAAATTTAACTAGAGAAAGCTGGTAACCAGATACGTTAATGGTGATGTGAACTTCAAACCATACACACACACACACACACACTCCTGGAATATAGCAAACATTGGAACTATTTATAAACCATGATCAGGTATAAAGTTCAGGTATGTTGTATAGCACGGGGGTGAAATACCAGGGGGGCCACTAGCTCACTAGAGCTGCTCGACAATACACTGAAATGTCACAGAGACGACATGATGCTAGATAGTAAGGGGAAAATTGGTCGATTTAAGGGTTCCGTTGGATTTGAATGTTCAAAAGGATTTTCAACGGAATATGGTAGTCTCGGGACACTACGATACATAATTAGACCTTGTTGCCAATTTTTTATCTCAACAGAAACACCACTTTTACCACTTTTTTATCCACCTTTGTACCACCTTTCTAGGTTTTGCCAAATTTCTTTAGTTTGTGAACGTCGTAGCAAGCCCTGCAAATTAACCTAGAATGTTTTATCTTATCAAGGAGTAAAATCTTTTGTATGAAAAATTTTGACTTTGGTCAATCAGCTCAATTGGATAATTACAATTAGTTAATCACCAAAAAAAGTGAAAAATTTTTTATTGGCCCTCAAAATGATTGAAATCGTTTGAAACACGGAGAAATGTAGTTTTTAGAAAAACTTCAAACAAATGTTCACTTAACATTTTATGTTGAGACTTGGAAAAATTTAAAAATATTTTTTTCCGCCAAAAGTGATCGAATTGCATGAAACGTGGATAAAAATTGCTTTGCAGAAAAACTTCGAAGATTTTTAGATTGGGGAATACTAAAATCATCAATATTTGAAGTTGGAGTTCTGTAAATCTCGCCATATTTGATATTTTCCAGTAATTAGGAATAGCTTAGCGGAAAGCGGCTGAACCTGAAAAATAAAAAAGGTTAACACACTCACCAATATTAGCGGTTTCACTAACTAATTACAATACAGCTTTATCATATTCCACATAACGAAACAGCACACAAGGACCATTTAAGATGCGAACCGATTTTACATAGCTTGTACTATCATTTTATTGCTTTCAAATGATCAAAAACTCTGTACGTCAATCTTGCCAATCTATACCGGGTATCTGAATGTACCGCGACCTCTTATTTACCTCCTATATTGACCCAGTTATGCAATGAATATTACGATATCTCACAGGGTATTTCTTTTACTGCTGCACTTTTTGTCACTTCTCGCAAGAGGCCCGGTATTATAGGGGGTATAGGAAGAGAGTGTAAATATACCTTTCATCATCCACTGTGGCTTTTTTAGTATTGTGAATGCGCTTGGCCGCTTGGTTGCTATGCCAGATACCTCAATTAACCACCACTATCTCATTTGCCAGGGTCGGGTTTAGAGCTGGAGATAGCATCGAGAGGTTGCTAGAAATAGCCTAGATTTAGAGTAAATAGCGGTGGTAGTGGTGTGGTGGGCTAGCATGGCTTAGCAGAACGTAGCTACACGGGGTTTTCATTGGATGTTGGTTATTTTAATGGCACAAAGGTGCCGGAAACTACAGATTACTTAAGATTGCAGTTGGAGGGGCAGTGTAATCCCGGTTATTGTAGTCAGGGGACACAGAGCTACAGTGCCAGGAGAGTTACTGCAAAAGAACAGATGAAGTGATACAGTCTGCAACAGTAAAACGCCGAAGAAGGATGATAAGATTGTGACTGCCAGAGGTGGAGAGGAGCTGGAACCTGATTGTGTTTGCGCGTCTGGAAGAAGAGGAGGGAAGAAGAGTGTCCTGCTCTCGGTTAACTGAATTTTTGCGACAAGAGGGTGGAGTGAAGAACTTATTTTCAAGCGACTTAAACGGTGGGTTGAAAGCAACCAGGTACAGCCTATCCGACCTATTAAGATCCCCCGTCCTGAGCTTAAAAGCCTATTAATAAGAATCTGGATGATAATGAGAGACTTGACCCACACCTTTTTAGATCCAACGAAACCCTTTATATAAATCGATTTACCGCATGGAATTACTTCATGGTATCTTTTATCAAGGATACCAGACCTTGCCGTACGGATTTATTGATCTAAGTGAGTCTCTTTAGCCCTCTTCTTCTTTAGAGATTTAGGTTAGTGATCAAACTCTTCGCAACTCGACTCTTAAATGGATCTCTATCCAGGACAGATTTCACATCTTTTTAGGTCTAAAACAGCCATTGTTTTCAGTTTTCATCATTTGTAGTACGTTCGCGTACTCCATTTTAGCACCACCCAGCTTCCATCAGTTCACTCTAAAGTCTAGCTTCGTTCGGCGTTTTACTGTTGCAGACTGTATTCACTTGCCCACTGTTCTTTTGCAGTACTCACTGCACTGTAGCTCTGGGTCACCTACTGACTACGCCGTGGTTTACACTGCCCCTCTACTGCAATATTAAGTAACTTATATCAGTTCCGGCACTCCCCTTGGCCATTTATAAAACCAACTCCATTGTAACCACGCCTGCTAGCTACGTTATGCTACATCCATGCTAGCACCACCCAGCTACCACTAGTGTACTCTTAATCTAGATATTTCTAAGCAACCTCTCGTTGCCTATCATCCAGCTCTATCCCGACCTGGCAATGGATAGGGGGGGTTATTTGACGGTAATTCTGGCTATAGCAAACGAAGCGGACATGCGCATTCCAATACAAAAAAGCCACAGTGGTTGATGAAGGTATTATTTACATCTCGTACTATACCCCCTTAATACGTGGCATATTGCGGAGAGTGACAAAAAGTGCCCACAGTTAAAAGAAAAATCCCTGTGTGAAATCGTATTTATTGCATTAATCGGGTCTAATTATAGAGGTTAATTATAAGAGGTCCGGTACATTCAGCATACACGCGTATAGATTGGCAAGATTGACGGTACAGAGCGTTTTGATCTTTGAAATCAATAAATGATACGCTACAGCAGGTAAAATCGGTTCGATCTTAAATGTCCTTTTGTGCTGTTTTTTATGTGGAATTTGATATAACAGATGTATTGTAATTAGTTATGGAAACTCTATATCTTGTGTGGTTAACCTTTTCTCAGGTTCAGCCTTTCCGCTAAGCTATTCCTAATTACTAAAAATATCAAATATGTCGAGGATTTACTGAACTCCTACTTCAATTATTGATGTGATTTTAGTATTCCAAATCTAAAAATCTTCGATGTTTTTCTGCAAAGCATTTTTATCCTCGTTTCATGCAATTCGTTCACTTTTGGCGACCGAAAAATATATATTTTTAAATTTTTCCAGTCTCGAAAAAAATTTTTAAGGGAACAATTTTTGAAGTTTTTCTAAAAAATACATTCTCCGTGTTTCAAACGACTTTCAATCATTTTGAGCCAATAAAAAATTTTCACTTTTGTTGGTGATTAATAATTGGTAATTATTCAACTTAGCTGATGTCAAATGTCAAAATTTTTATACAAAAGTTTTACTCCTTGATAAGATAAACATTATAGGTTTAATTGCAGCCTTCTACGACGTTCAAACAACTAAAGATATTTGGCAAACCAGTGAAAGCGTGGTACAAAGGTGGTAAAAAGTGGTAAAAAGTCTGGTGTTTCTGTTGAGGATAAAAATTGGCCAACAAGTTAATTATGTTCGTAGGGGTTCCTAATACTTCCATATTCAGTTGAGACAATCCTTGTGAACATCAAATCTCAAAGGAGATGCCACTTTCCCCTTACTAAGAGTTATACCGTCCTAATATTTAAATTAGATTTATATATGTAAGATGTGAAGCAGGTTTCAGGGGTCCTGGTGGGAGTTAGGGACGGAATCAATGGGTCGGTGGGTAGTTGGGGTAACCATGGCAACGTAATGCAGTAATGATGAAATGAGAGGGCAGGTCAATGATTGGCACAGAATTAGGGTGGTTGTCTAAGAGGGTAAAAGGTTTGTAACTACTGATGTACGTGTGTGTGGGCCGTATAAAATACTTATTGTTAAATTGTGGTTCCTTCATGTCTACTGTAAACTGGAAGAGGATTTATATTTGCATTTTCTTAACAAAACAAGAACTATTCACTGTTATTCAGCCAAGAAAGTATTTTTTACCGGTCAATAAGGAAGCATTAACAATTTGTCAGAAATCAACATATATCCAAGAAAACAGCAAAAAACTCAATTAATAACCGTAGAAATGAATCTGCACAAGATTTCCTGTCAGAATCACTCGCATATTATTATGCAGCAAAATTTCATAGCGCATTCCAAACGTGGTTGGTCGAGCGGAGATCTAAATTTGTAAAAGCAGGTACCGAGAGAGATGACATTTGTCAAACCACCACTACCAATCCCTGTTCAACCAGCTGTCACGTGTACCTTGATTAGCTATTACCGGAATGTAATCATTCGGCGGAGAAAGAGGAGAATCTCTGAAACATTCCAGACT